TATTACAGCATGCAACAGACACAAATTGCACTTTCAATTTCAATATTCACCATCATTAATGTTTTAGTTATTGTTATTCAAATGTTCTTCAGATAAGTTTCCTATTATATCGATGAAAACAAATCTATTCCATTATTTTTCAGTGCACAGAAATATCGTGCGAAAATGTTACTTTACCGCACTAGTGCACTTGTTGGAAATAAGGATATTCAGGACTAACTTAATGATCCATGTAACTATTCTGACCTATGTGTCATTTTGTAGCATCATTATAAAATATTGTTCATTGAGAACCTTTTTTTTTTCATAAATTATATGGACAAAAACACTCGTAGAAAAAACTTTATACCTAACTCTCCCGGGAAATGTCTTTTTCTACAAGCGTGCGTGATTCACCCTATACCCGCACGCAATTTAGTTTGGGAAGTGTCATTTGCCCGCAACGTTGCGGGAAAAACAAAGATATGATAATATGGCAGAATATAAGTGGTATATAGGTGATGGAATATGAGAGTTTGAGTTTGTGTGTTGCAGTATTGAGTATCTATGTTCAGAATCATCCATCAAATTGCACTATTAATTGTGAAAATTTAGAAATATTGAAAAATAAAAATTGATCATTATAAAAATTCCCCTATAGATTTCGATTGAGCTGATGGGAAACGATTATTGTTGTCATGGCAATCAAACCTCAAATGAGTTTGTAATTGTCGAAGTGACCGAAACATCATTACAGTCATTTTCGATTCAGTTGAATTGCCACAATGTGATCAAAAACTTCCAGCTATAGCTATAGGGATGAGATACAGATGCGTTATTGCCAACAAAGTCTTAAGAAATGTATGAGAAGCTATGCACGCGTTTTAGTAAATGTTGCAACAATAAAGAAATGAAAATACCGAATAATGAAGATGTATTTTTGGCTCATTTCCTAGAGACCAAACACCTTATGGGCCTGCTGGTTTCCGCAATGCACCTATACATAATGCGTCAAACTGTAAGTTCACAATAGCTATTACTAATAATCAGTAGATAGAGAATATATTTTCCATATCAGTTGTTCCTATATGAATGGATAATCAATTGAACAAATCAATTTCCTACGCTTGTAGAAAAAATATTGTTCCTCACTCATGAGGAAAGTGTCAACGGCAGTCGCGTGCGGGAAAAAATCGCTTTCCGCACTTGTTAGGAAAATTACTTTTTCCGCCCTTGACGTCTTGCCGAACTCCGCTTCGCGTCGTTCGTGCAACAGCTGTCGCGTACGGAAAAGTATTACTTTCCGCTCTTGTTAGGTAAATAACTGTTAAATCTGCTGAATTGGTGGGATTTCTGATAATGTGTTGATGATACCACTCCACCCGTGTATAGTCATCCTGTACATTTAATCGTATACACTCATTAAATAAGTTGATTTTTGGGGAGATTGAGATGATTGAACTCGCAAAATTACCTAGTTCGCAAGATTTTATGAAAAAACACTCCAATAAAGTGCCCTCTATAGGAGAGCTAATATAGTAGTTCACCTAACAAGTGCGGAATAGCGGAGTCACTTATTTATACGCACGTGTTAGGTATATACCATTTTTACTACTGGCTTGCGGAAGAAAACCAAATGTTAACATGAAGAAAAACTTTTTTTTGCAACCGACACAAAAGTCGTCCATTTTGATACCAAAATCAGCTCTTAAATTGACGTTTCTATTACTGACACAAAAATAGGTATGTTGCTAGGCAACATATTTAGTTCCTAGGAGCTAAAGTTGAATTTTAGTTCCTAGGAGCTGAAGTTCAAATTTAGCTCCTAGGAACTGAAAATGATGTGCTGTACGTCATCAAGAATAAACAACATTGTGATCGACGGTTGGTTATTTGGGTTGAGACGCATACCTGATTTGTTTCCGATTTCAGCAGATTTGGCATTTCATGCCCATCCTGATGGAGATATGAATACACCTTATTATACTTTAGTATTGGAATTATAAACATCTCAGTTAAGTATTCTTGTTTTGATCAGGGAAGCCTTCAAGATTCAAACACTTGCTTGATCTGTATTTCATTCGTTATTCTCGGGATGGAAAACTTGTTTTTGAATAATCACGGCAAGCAATATTGATATATTGTTCAGCTTCATTCGATTATCAAGTCAAAGACATGTTGATATGCTCACCAACCTAACATTTTCCACGTCTTGTAGTCTTGTTCCTATAGCTGGCATTGGCGCGGTATTTGCTATTAGAGCACCTGGTCCTTACACAAATGTGTCACTCTGTGGTTTTATTTATATCGGAACTACAATTCGAACATCCTTGAAAACCTAACCTGCTGTTAATGCAGGTAGAATATTCTCATCACAGGGATTAATTTTCAATATTTGGTGCATTCCATACATATGGCACGGCATTGGTGGTTACTTCACATGTTTATTTGAGTTAATTGTTTCGGTTGCAGAACGAATAGCATGTTTCATTCGGATCAAAGGTGACTTTGTTTGACTCGCAAATTTTGCTTTTGCTCGGCTCGCTGAACGCTCCGCCTCGCAAATGCAAAATTCGCTTGTCAAACAAAGTGTCACTTCTGATCCTAATAAAACAATCTACTATTCATTACAGTTAAATATGCAAATGTCAGTATATTCTCCAAAAACTTGACATAACCAGTTTTATGTGGACTTTTTCGCACGCTATAGTATACAACATTTTTTAACTATCCATTCCCTAATAGGAGACAACGTCGTAGGGACGTCCCTATTTGGTACAATTCACGTCCGAATGTCCCGAACCAAAAATAAGTGTCCTTGGGACATCCCATCCCGTACGCGATTTTACTAAATATACTGTACGCTAGCACAAACCACGCGCACCGTAATATCTCATCTTCGAAGTACTTAGGCAAAACTCAGAGACTATTTATCCTTAACGAACTAACCTATCCCTGATTGCAATATTTTTGAGGAAGGAAATCCGAATGGAGTGTAGAAACACATTGATTAATAATATATTTCAAAAGTTTAGTTCTTCAACAAAATTGAATAAAATGAGACTGTTTATCCTAAACGCACTTACCTATTTGACTTCAAATATTTTATGAAAAAGGAATTCCAGAATGAAGTAAAAAAACATTGGTGAAAAAAAAAGTTTCAAAAAAAAGTTCAAGTTCACAGCGATTCGAACCATATTGACCTTCAGACTGAAAGTCGACAGCGCTAACCAGTAGACCATTTGGGTATATGAATTTATTGCGTACAAGAGATTGACAACGAGAGAGCTTCAGTCGAATTCGTGTCAAAATCATGAAAAGTGTATTCTTGCGTTGGAGCACAGTATATTTAGTGCGATGTGCTGACTCCGAGTATATCGGTAATGTTTGGAGATATGACGTATTATGGTGGGCGTGGTTTGTGCTAGCGTACAGTATATTTAGTAAAATCGCATCCCGTACATCTCAATCAATGTCCGAGTAAGGACGTCCACGAAATGTCCCAGCCGGTACATCATTTCAAATGTCCTAGAAATAGCATTCCCACGTGGTACATATTGTAGAATGTCCATGCAAGGACGTCCTTGGCATGTCCCTGATGGGATATGATTTTGAACGTTCCTTTAGGGACATCCATCGGTTGTCCCGAGTAGTACATATTCTGGCATGACTTCAGATCTGATATAATGTCCCTTCTAGACAACCATAAAATGTCCCTGATGGTACATTCCTTCAAATATCTCTGCACAGACGCCCTCAATATTTTCAGGAACGTATAACAATCGAAATGTCCATTAGGGACATCCTTCGAATGTCTCTTAGGGATATATGTCGGATGTCCCAATTGGTACATGAACTGTACTCTTCCAATGTCCTAGAAATAACGTCCTATGTACGTCCCAGTCGGTACTTTCAATAAATTGTCCCTGCGAGGACGTTAACTAACATCTCGCCGACGAATGATTGCTCGTAGTACTCCTCGACAATATCCTTCACGTAAGTCCATCAGATATCCTTGGGAAACTTTTTGAGGACCTTCTACGGACCATCAACTCAACTAAATGTCCTAATCAGTTATGCAAGATCTGAAAGGGACCCAGAAAAATTCAAATTCAAGAATAATTCGTACGTCCCTGGGACATCCTATGGACATCCAATTGATATCCCTCAGAGTTGCTGATATGTTTTCCTATGGATGTCCTAAGGATCTCCTCTGTAGTGCTTGATGAGGAATACTGTAGGATTCAGGTATTCGATAGTTGTCCCAGGGACATCCCTCAAGGATGTCCCTAGTTGGTCCTCAAATTGGACATTTGTGCGTCCCACAGACGTCCAATGGACGTCCACGGTACCAAATTCGAACGTCCTATGGACGTCTTGAATGTCTCGACAGGACGTCGTCCTAAGGATATCCATGGGACATAAGTGTGTTATTAGGGTTGTGTATCTTTATGCGATGAGTTTGATCTCGTGGAATTCTGGATTATTTGGATTCCATATAAACCCAGTCAACAGGATTTTATGAAAGGTACACAAGAGTTAAGTGAACCTCGGGAGGTTAGAAAAATTTGAAAACCTCCTATCATGTATTTCGTTGAGGTAATAAGTTAATTTTTGTCAGAATTGAAACTTGCCGAAATACCCATCATTCCGCGAAATCATCAAAAAACATACTTATTAGTAAAAGTGCTCCCCAAGGCTGCCATCAGGGTGGAGAATTGAGAATTTGCCATGTTCTAGTTCGATGAGATGATTTCAGACATGTGATCAAAAACAATGATTTGTTTTATGGAAGTACGAAACACGAATTATACTCAACCTAAAGTCTCGAGCCGAGTGAAAAATCTCATTATTATTACTTTCTGCAAACGAATAATAATTCAGCCTATCAGGTAACGTTCATTTCCATGATAATTATAACAATATCAGTTTGCTGATTATTGACCGAAAAACCCATTTTACAAAATGTTAACTATTCAATTAACTGCAAATTAAGTAAGTACTCAGTTTGTGGAAATTTTAAAATAACATGCGGTAGATAATGAGGTGTTTTTGTCTGTATTTTTGAGAACTCGTTTCCTATATACATTCAGTGTAATGTGTTCGAATGACAATATAATGATGAGTAAGTTGTTCACATATTATAAAGTAGAAAATTGCAATTTTTTTTGTGTATTTGAATAGTATGCCCAATTCATATACGAGAAAATTACCATTTTAAGCATCTGGATAATATAATAATAATAATAATAATAATAATAATAATCGCTTTTATTGACAGATAATGGATAACAAAAAGAGGTAACATATGACATCATCTATCAAAAGGCAGAGTTAGCTCTGGTTCGGACTCGGTGTTGAGTCGAACAAGTGCTTCTTTCCGCTCAACCTATATAAATATATCACTCGGCTTTTGAGTTTTGGAACACTTTCAGAACTCATAATCTTGGTTCACTCAGTAATAAGCATTTTGGAACTCAGGTCATTTATTATCAACGAGTAAACGTGATGAGAGGTACCGAAATTGTAATTCGACTTTTCTTGTCAGTTTTTTGCCCTCTCAGTACTATACTTTGGTCCTTTAATGCATCAGTATATATAAATAATATAAATTTCTCTCATTTCATCATAATTTTGGAATACAATATCAGAGCCGAAATTAAGATTCTATAGCGCCTGTAGCAAAATGTACACTTGAAAAAATTATTAGTTTTATTATTGGCATTTATTGATTATATTTCGAAACATTTCCTTATTCAAAATAATCATCATATTTTAGACCGTATACCTCATGAAAAATCCAGGAAAACAGGTTTCTTATCAAGGAAGTCTTATAACTGCTAATGTGAACATTTTGACCATCAATTGTCATATCTGATGTACCTGACAAGTTAATTCATGTATGAAGAATCCCACAAGCCGCGTGATTTTGTCATTATGACAACGAGAAAAGTTTGCCCTATCTTTTCCAGCGACACCGAATTATAATTGAAAGCCAAATCTTAATGAGGCTCACAGCAATTAATTGTTCACCAATAGGACACCTATCGTAGACGCCAAGAACTCCTTAGAAAGTTAGATCAAAGATTGAAATAAACTGAGATCGTATTAGCTAATAGCAATAACATATAGAATATGTATCATGCCCAGATCCTAGTGGAGTATTGGATCTCAATTGACAATAAACCATTAAAATTGCAGATGAAGGTAAGGGGTAATACAGTTCTGATATGATTCATATGTTAAAACCAAATACTAATATCCTGTCAAAGGTCTAGAAGAATATCCTCACGCTAAACACATAGTATTATCTGAAACAAAAGCAGTATGAGGCTGTTTTGCGGCGTCCTCTTTATCAACAACTTCATGAAAATATGTATGATAAGTTTCTCGCAGTGACCACATAGTGTCTACTCATTTAAACATGGTTGGTGGGTTGATCTGTGGTGGGTTAAATCAATCATTAATCACAGAACAACAGTACAGGGTAGAGAAAATGGGAACGGAAGTTATTGTTCATTATAACAATGCATTCATAACTATAACAATTGAATAAGACATTATAATAAAGATGGGGTCAAAACAATTCAGGTGGGATTGTGACAGCCTTCACTTCCTGCATGCATGCTACTTCTGGCACCTAGTTCGTCTCAGAAAATCCCATAGACAGAAGAATAGTTTTGTATTATCACTGCATGATTATCAGGAATAACAGTACTACACATAATGAAATGAAATAATTCACCATTTCTCAATCACATGTCGCATAGCTGGTTAGTCTTCTTTTAGATGATCCGGCTTGGTCATCAGGAGAGTAGGCATCAGAATCGAGTTCTTGTTCTTCTTCTTTCTCCTCTTCTACGGCTGCTCCTTCTACTTTCACATCACTGTGGAAAGAACTCGATATTGAGGAAGTTACATATAATCGCTTGTCTAAAGGAATAAATATTTGATTGACTGATTGCCAAGAAACGATAAACAGTGTCTCTATTCACAGTACTCAAAAAAACAAATCTTTGTGTGTTTCTTTCAACTAATTCTACAATGTAAACACACTCTTTTTCCAGAAAAAAGCAACTACTACCAAAGAATCACTAAATCAGTTAATGAAGTTAGGAATACATATGATACGATTTGTCTTGAATTATTTGATTTGAATTGAGTTAATCACATTCAGTTCCTCTTGGAAAAATGGAATGGAAGTGGAAAGTTCTGAGTTTGGACGAAGTTTCCTGCGTTGGGCTGCCATTGAGGAAATTTGACGCTACGACCTATTTTGGTTTAAAGTTCATATCCCAGCACTAGAGTAAATGGAGTAGACGGATTGCATTCGAAATGATGTCTGATTCAGAATTCATTTTCCTACAACTTTGCTCTCCTGACAATTTCCAATCGAAACAGTTTTTTTTTACCTACAGGCGTTAGGAGTTGCTGGTTGTCAACTTTATTGTGAAGTGTGTTGAAAGTATTTCCAGCTCTGGAGCAATTTTCAGGGGGTAGAGCTTTTTTGCACTAACTATCCTGAGGTATGAAAAATAAATTTTGCTCTTTGAATCGAACATAGTCGGCCGTGTAGTATTGCAATATGAAAATTGTTAACTTAGCAGAGTAGATTGGATTGATTCAAACAATCCTAGAGGTAGTCGAACAGAATATGGGGGTTAATTCCCGATTTTTCTCAAGTTATGCTAACAAAAGAAGTTGAATACGTATGGAATATAATAAGTGACCCAAATTACTGGATAGAATAAATGGAAGAGATGAAACCTCGGATGAAACTGACAATGAAAATTATGAAATTGCATCTCAGTGCAGGCATTTTCAAATTACTTCAGAAAGTTTAGAATGGCATCTCTTGTAAACTTTTCATCTAATAATGATAAACTAGAATACTGTTGGAAAGAGAACTAAACGCCCTCCAAAATGATGTGCATCTTATTGACCCGCTTTTCATGTAAGCTTCTAAGGAAAACATCTACCCCTCCTAGGGGGTTGAACGCAAGAGGGCTGAAAATATCCATTCGGAGTATCCCGCTTGAAGACGTGCCTTTCCGATTTTTCCTATCATTTACTAGAAGGATGGAATTGAGGGTAGAATGTTTTCTAATTGACATGGCATTTTTCAGAAATTATTCCACAGAAAATGATGAACCGTTGAAAAGGAAAGAAAATAAATGACGCGTCATTCGACCCCTTTCCATCTGAGATTCTGAGGCTAACATCTACCCCTCCTAGGGGGTTGAACCAAGAGTGCTGAAACTAATTATTTTTAGTGTCTTCCCCGTGAATAATATCGACCTGGCTCTTCGGTTTTTCATATTATCAACTGGAAGGAAGATATTGAGGGTTATATATTATATTTGTCACTATTTCTATAGGTTGTCCGATCATGAATGTTCATTAAATCAGAGGTGGAGTTGTTTTATCCAATAATGATTCATTGAATGAATATCATTTTATATAAAAGTGAATTGCATTAATGATTTTTCTTTATTTATTCACATTATTGTTTACTGACCATGAGTTGGAAGTGGTGTATGATATTATTATTCTATCTAATGTTTACTATTTGTTTTGTTTCGGGAATTCAAAATAAAAAAAATTCAAAATTGCGCGAGAGTGACATACACGAGGTGGGAAAGAAAGGTAATACTTACATATAAGTTGGGGATTAAAATTAATAGCAGTGACTGTAGCAGCTGATAAATGAGGATCATGGGTGAGAAACATAAATGTTCTGCGTTTGTTCGCGTTGTAGGTACACAAAAATTCAAAATTTCGCTCAGTAGCGTATAGAACCTAGATTTATTTATTTGAGAATACTTCTTGTTATATCTCTTATCCAAGTGTAACTCCGCTTATTGAACATAATTATTTGAATTGAAATGCGGCTAACAATCTTGATGAAACTCAAGGAACTCGTGATGATTTCATAGATCAAAATAAAAAAATATGTCAATGCTATAGAAAATAGTGAAAATATGAAAATGGCAGCACAAACAACTTGAAACTACACTGATTTCTGTGTTTTTCATAATATTTATAACATTTTTTTTATCGCTTGGAGCGCACGAAAGGGAATCCCTATAATGTTCTGAGAACATCGCGCGTTCCTATAGGGAGGACAGGGATAGGAGGTAGGTATTGGAATTTCTTTGAACTTCTGGAGATTATATGTTGTTGGGAATACTTCCTCAGGCAATGAATTCCAGAGCCTAGCCGTTCTATGGATGAAGGAGTTTTGATAAAGTGCTGTTCGACATCTTGCTAGTATTGCTAGTAGAGGGATGATAGCAGAGATTTCTGAAGCACATTTCCCGTGGAAGTATCGATAGAAAAGTGAGAGGTCGCCGACCTTCCTACGGTGTTCCAATGATGTCAAAGAGTGAGTGAGTGTGGCATCACCCACCAGGCGGATGGCTCTTCTCTGGATGGAATCTATGAGCATCAGCGTATGTTTTGGTGCTGAACCCCATAAGTGGGAACAGTATTCTAGAACAGGCCGTATCTGCGCTTTGTAGATCATGAGAAGCTGTTGAGGTGTAAAGTAGCTTTCCGCACGGAACAAGAATCCGAGTTTTCGTGAAGCAGCCTTTGCGATGGATCTTACATGATTATCCCATGAAAGAGTGTTGCTGATGGAAATACCGAGCATAGATATGGTGGGCTTGGTGGATATGGTGGTGCCAGACATTACAATGTCGGGCATACTGAGTTCCGCCTTTCTAGAGAAAATACAGGCTCGAGTTTTGGTGGCGTTGAATTCAACTAGGTTGTTGGTTCCCCAGGCTGTGATTTCAGCAAGGTCTTCATTGACAGCATTGGCCTGCCTGCGCCGTGAGTTCTTAGTTTCCTGGGAAGAAATGGGAATTCTGGAAGAGAACGCAGTATGGAGGGTACTGTCATCTGCAAAGCTGTGGATGGGGCAAGTTGTTACTCCTAACAGATCATTGATATGAAGAAGGAATGATGTTGGTGCCAAAATTGATCGTTGTGGAACGCCGGAATTAATGCCAATGATATCAGACGATACACCGTCCACCACCACATGAAGCGATCTGCCTGAAAGAAAACTCGATAAGATATGGCATAGCTGAGGTGGTAAGCCGTATGATGGTAGTTTGT